AATTAAAGGAAAAATGACGTACTTGTGGAGCATCTACTCCGTAGGATGCAAGTGGGTCACGTTACCCTTATATCATTTTATACCTAGGTATGGTTTGTAATGATTTTTCCTCTATGGCCTCAGCGAATACTCGAAACCCTAACCCAATTCTATCGATATCCGAAAACACGGCCAAAACCATTACCTTCGTTCTCGCAACTCCGACGACTCTGGAACGACAAAACCATAAAAAATCTAAACGAAGCTCCGGGGGTGATCAGTAGCTCATTCCAATCCTTAAAAATGTGTTTAGGGCGCCAGCCGATTTTTAGCTACGCGGAATCGACGAACCGCAACCGTAACTCTAACCGTATTCAAAACTCAAATTTTCACTGATCATCCCCGAATTTCCTATCAACAGAAGCTAAACCTAGAGTCGTGGAGGTACGAGGGTACGGGACTGCTCGGTTGCTCAGTGTGCGGGTCGTGGAGAGAGGGGTGGATTCGTGGACGAGAGCATCAATTATCCAAAATTCAAAATAAGATCAAGAACCTGAATTAAACTATTTGTAGTATTTATAGGGACGGGGATTCGGGTAGGAAAAATAAAAACCAGTCGGAAATATCCTTACTTGTTCCACTATTGACCAGAGAGCAAGAATAAATATTATCTATTAGCGAACTTATAATTAACATAGATTGCTCAGTCTACATTTTTCATATGACCGGCATTCGCCCAAAAGAGAAAGGTTTAACTTTTAATAAAATATACCGGGAACCGTAGCAAATGGGAATTTTATAACGCAGCACTGAAGAGAGAACAGCTTTTGACTTTATTAAATTACTTATGTTATTCAGGTGGGAAAGATAGGAAACTGCAGGGGAGTCTAATCGGATTCGAGCGAGAGAGAGAGATACGACCTTATAATTCCGACCGATCAGTTGCTAAGGCACAAATTCTATTGGGTAGCCTTATTTAATCGTTCGGTAGCGACCCTATTCAATTTGGTAGCCCGTTTCTGACTAACTTATTAAATCAGGAATATTTGTCGGTTAGGTAGCAGTTGAGGTAGCGTGATGACCATTTCAGTAGCGGAAAAGGGGGGTCGCAGATCTAGGGGGTCGTTAGGTAGCTTAGTTCCCGCGTTAGGTAGCGTTGTCCGGGGCTTTGGTAGAGGAATCGGGA